ATGGATCAGGCCCAATAACGGAACGCGTGTTTAGCGCATTTATGCATTTACCTAACTCTACAAAGATGGAGGAAGATGACACGTACCGAGGCCATGGCATGGGTAGGGCTGCTGGACAAGGCACTGTGGGCGATTTGGAAGAGCGTCTGATGAAAGAATGCAGAGCACTTGGCCTGATTCTGGACAATGATGAGGTATGTCCTGAATAAGTGTCAAAACTCTTTTACTGAGTCATATCAGCCGGATTATACGCAACCTCAAGACGACCAGATTGCGTCTGAGCTTCGACGTTGTCAAAGAGCCTTACGAGCCCAGATAAAGATCAATGAAGCCCGCAAGAAGCGCCTATTGGCGATAGCTGAAATGCGTCTAGCCTATGCAGAGTACGAAGAGATCAAAGAGGGCATGGAGCGAAATATATCCAATATGTTCGCCAAACTGGGTAATTCGGGTGTACCAAAGGTGACCCGGAAGAAGAAAAAGGAGAAAGACAAGGTTGCCGCAGCTGCTGCTGTTGATCCAGCAAGCGGTGGGCCAGCTGGTATTAGTGGTCTAGGCTTGGTGGGAATGGATGGGAATCTACAGATTCCGACAGAGATTTATGAACCAGTAAAGGTTCTAAAGCAGTGGAAGGCGACTCTGGGCGCCATGTACGACCAACTCGAGGCAGAAACCCCAGGAGTCATCCGAGGACTACCTCAAAAAAGTATTTATGAGGGAATAGAGGATGAACTGGTCGAAACACAGACCGTCACGAGCACCGCTCCCGATAATGCTATGGATGGCGTTGTGACCAACGGAGACGCAGATCAGTCGATGGATGTTGTCCCATTTGCCAGTTCACCGGACGATGTATTGATGAACGCAGCAGATTGAAGCCTTGTCTAAACACCTTACGCATTCTGGACATTACTAATAGTCTAACGCTTGCATGCAATTTCTTTAATCTTTTTTTATCGCTATCACTGTTCTTACCTGCCTCTTTTTTGTTTGGTACAAAAGATGTATTTGCACCCCTAATATTTCTAGAAGCTTGAGCGGAGTTGAAAGCGTGTTTGCTCCTGACCACCACGAGTAAGGCATGTCTACACGACCGCAAGATGACCGAAATCAGGAAGCGACAGTATATCTTGTGAGTTCAACGTCATAGATACCAAATACGAATGTAACACACTCCAGGGTAATCTAGATGAACGAGTAACAGATGCGATAGTCTGGGAGCTCATGCTCCAAGCTGGACCAGTAGGTTTGTCACCCCTCTGACGTACTCCTATCCTTTTCTTACCATCCTATAGTCAATGTTCATTTACCCAAGGACCGCATTTCCATGTCACACCAAGGGTATGGATTCTGTGAATTTTTGACCGAGGAAGACGCCGAATACGCTTGTAAAATCATGAACCAGATTAAACTATGGGGAAAGCCAATCCGAGTGAACAAAGTGAGTTTTGTCTATGTTGTCAGAGTAGCCACTGATTGCTCTGTGGAAAAGGCTTCCTCCGATAAAAAGCAAATAGACGTGGGCGCAAATCTCTTCATCGGAAATCTTGATCCGGCAGTGGATGAAAGGCTACTTTATGACACCTTTTCCGTGTTTGGTGCACTGACACAACCCGCAAAGGTCAGAAACACAGCCGTTATCTACTCTCAGCGGCTGACAAAGTACACACAGATAGCAAGAGATCCAGCTACTCAACAATCTAAAGGGCACGGTTTCGTCTCATATGCCGACTTTGAATCGGCTGACGCTGCGATCGAGGCTATGAACAAACAATACTTGATGAACAAACTGATCGAGGTTCAGTACGCCTTCAAGAAAGACGGGAAGGGAGAACGCCATGGAACTCATGCTGAGCGTCTATTGGCTGCGCAAGCTCGTAAGAATATGCAGTTGCCATTATCCGCGAGGCCTCCGCCTGCACCAGCTGCTCTGGTCAGTCAATTTGGAATGCGCCCGCCGATGCCTGTTGCCACTCCGTTTGGGGGTGCATATCAGGGTCAATTTGCTGGTGCGTTGGCACCGCAAGTTGCTCCTCCAGTAGGAATGGGAATGCCTGGCATGGCACCTACTGGTATGGGTGTGCCAATGGGGATCCCACCTCCACCACCTGGTTTTAATACCATGTATCCCCCTACGGGTTTTGGCATGATGCCACCTCCTTCACAGTGATGGGAATGACGTGCATAAAAAGCCGGTTTATTACGAGATAAATCAACGCGCTATGATTGTAGTACAACCGAGGGAATATACTGTAGTAGTGTCTGTAGTAGTCATACTTTCATGGCAGGTCTTGAATGCTGGTGTTAAATATACGAAACAGATCATCTACGCTCTCTGACATTAAGCCAGACTATTGTAATGAGAGCTATGCCAAATCCTGCAATGAATGCGAACAAGACCAAAACGTCACTGCAAAAGAATGAGCCTCCTGCTGATAGTAGTTTAATGAATACTTACCGATAGTAGTTGTTGGCTCCAAATCCGAACAACTGATCCAAGAGTTAAAAACGGAACCAAAAGAGATCGTACGAAGGTACTCACAAGATTCATAATCAGCTGAGCAGACACGTTGACTGGCACTCCTTGTAAAACATCTACAATCTGTAGACCCGAGCCCACTTCATTGACAGCGAGAGCTTCCAAGAGATACTTGAGTATGCTGAACCACTGAAGCCATCTCAAGACTGGAGGTATGTCATTCAGATGAACGACTAATGCATAGTCAGTTGCCATTCGCCTCAATTCACTCATTTACTCACAGAATCCTGCAAAGGCTAAACCGAGTTAATTACGTGTATCCTATCGTAAGATGGACGAACTTACTCATGATGAAAAGGTTGAAGAGTGCAGAAAGAAGAATAGCAATTCCTCCGTTACGGAAAGTACAAGCCAACAAGAAGTTCTGGCAGAGAAATTGTTAGAAGATAGCAAGCTAAAGTCACTGGATGTACATACAAAGAGCGTCATGGCGAAGGTGAACAAGACGAGGACGAAGAGGAATTTGAAGAAATGAGCGGCATCGGGGGCTAAGCCCGCCATCCAGTAGACACTATTAATGTTGTTAGATAACGTCGGTAACACAATGAAGGTACACACATGGTAGAAACAACGATGGTGGGGATAATACGGAGCGGGATCACATCAAAGAAGAATCTAGAGAGCAACCATGCAGCGGGGCTAGGAAAGGAATCAGTATCCAAGAATCTAGATATATCTTTGATTAAATACCTATAGTATGCACCAGCTCTTTCTCTAAGGAACAAGGGTCTAATTTCGATCAAATTGTATAATGCACTCAGAGCCGAGAACGATAGCAGTGAACCCTATTTATCGTAAGAGGCTGATTAGAAAGCAAAGCGTGAAGACAGACCAAGAAGAAGAGACACCCAACACGGCTCTGGAAGCCAGCGATTGTAATGCCAGTCTTAAAGTAGAGGCCTCCACAGAAGGCTCCAAGGACTGCGGCCGTAAACAAGTGCGCAAAGAAGAGAGATTTATCCCTATAAAGCATTTATATTTCAGTCATCTGTCAGGCCCTACTATTTAATACGGACCTTCTGAGAATTTTCCATTCTCTTCCACAAAGGACTTGTAGTTGAGTCAAGAATGTGGACGCATAATTGGAAGTAAGGCGAGCAGAACCCAATTTGAAAGCCTTTCCTGCATCCTTGGGGGGTTGCGAACCACTCTTCTCAAGAACCACGGTCGAGTTACCTTTTGAGGCTTCGGCATCTGGATATTCCCCTGTTGTATGACCATTCAGTCTTTCTTCAGTTCCAGTTGCTGTCGTAGCAGAGTTTTTGGATGCAGACTGGCGCCTGGCATGAGTAAGGACTTCTTGTGGTGGGTCTGAGGCAATGTCGAGGAGATGATCTGCGACATTATATCCCGGCTGAGCTGGATGGCCTTGACGAGCGAAATAGTCATTCGCGGCGAGTCCTCCCGGACCGAAATACAGCTCTCTTCCTTTGGAGAGCAATAACACCTTGTCGAACATCTGATATAATTTGGAGCTACCATACCGTCAGAATTGAATATCATCCTTGCTATGTCAAGCTTACTTTGGTTGATGGATCGAAGCGAGGATCGCAGTAGGATTCTCTGGATTGTGAGCCAAATCGCGGAGCACAGAGACGACCTTGTTTGCTGAGACAGAGTCGAGACCTAGTCCAAATAAGTCAGTGGCTATTATTAGAGGGTCTGAGCTGGTACTCACCGGAAGTGGGCTCATCCAATACCAATATATCTGGGTTGGCAACTAATTCTAAACCTATGCTGACTCGCCTTTGCTCTCCACCAGAGATGCCTCGGCGCTCTGAACTACCTATCCTCGTATCTTTGATATCCAAAATGCCGAGTTGCTTCATTACATCGAAGACCTTTGCCCTCTTGTGTTCGATGGTCACATAGTCCGGCAATCGTAGATCAGCAGCAAACATGAGAGCCTCCTCGACGGTAAGCATAGACGGTAGAACGTCCAACTGATCCACATATCCAATTCTGGGGTGTTTGATGGTGTCGGTGTTTCCATCAGTGGAGTTGAAAGATATAGAACCAGATACTTTGCCAAGTTTGCTCTTTCCA